TTTACAAGGTGATTCCGGATACTTTCCGGCATGACGTCAAATGACGCGATATGCCGCGTGATACTGCGTTGTGATGTGACATGCCCACCGGGGTATACCGCGAAATACCCCACCCATTTTGAATGGCTGCATCTGTAAAACTCTCAGAATCAGTTATAGCTGGAAAGAGACCTATCTCTCTTAGAGTAGAATGTGCTTCTCATGACAGTATTCTGAATTTTAACTTTGTTCCTAGGACTCAACTTCAGAGTCTCAGAGTAAGTTTCTAATGCATTTTACTGATTCCTCAAAGTGCATACTGTGTTCTCAGGGACCAACAAGCACATTCTTTCCTACAGTCTGGGAATACACAGATATTTGAGAGTTTTGGGAAAAGGTGTGTGCAACACTGTCTACACTACTGAGAGTGGTGTTTGTCACTCTCCTCTGGTATTACTGCTGAATGACCACTCCTCTACTGACTGAGCAGCACTACAGAAAAGGGTCTGGCTGACATTACTGCTGTTAAGAGAGTGATTGAGACAGATGGAGATCAGACAAGAGAAAGAAAGGGACAAAGTAAAACGGGAGAAAGAGAGTGAGGAGCAGGTTTAAACATGGGAGACAAGGAAATGAGAGGGGAAGCTTTTCTTTCTGCTAATTTCAAATTAAGTACATAATCATTGAAGTGGGACATGTACAGATGCAGCCATTCAAAATGAGCAGGTTAAGAGACGGTAAAACACGGTGGGTGTGTCACATCAAAACGGGTCATAATGCATCATTTTGCGTCACACCGCATTTCACCATATGTACAGTAAATGTTAATAGTATCCAGAATCACCTTGTAAAACTGCCAGGTGGAGCTAACAAAGCTTAACCTCTCATGTGCAGCATTTGAGCTATCACCAGAAAACATTCGGTTTCAAATCCCGATCACTGCTGAGGGACAATCCTTATTCAATTAAGAATTTAAGTTGTATACCCTTTAGAATTTTTAATTTAAACTGCATATTTCATCATGTTAATCGTTAAACATTAAAAAGTTGGTATATTTTATGAAAGCAAGAGTGCTCAGTTGGACAAAAGTACACAACCTACCACCTTTATCATAAATATTTTAATTATGCAGAAATATTTGAGATATTACTCATAGTATTAATAATGAAAGACCTTGGACAAGCTGTAAACTCAAAGTATTACTCTGGTCCAGTTTCTTTGTAACCTTCTTTGTAAACGAAAAGACTTAATTTTTTCATTAACAAAAAGTAACACCACAACATTTCTTTTCCGATCACTCATTCGTTTCCAATCATACAAAGTAAGTATTGAGAATCTCCGATTCACCATGCCTTTCACATGTTCATAAACTATATTAATTTAGGAACATAAACATATTATGTAAACTATATATTGCTGGTCTAGGTAGTTTAAAGAAAAAATACACACCAGTATTCCATTTTTCTCTAAAAATTTTAAGCATCAAAGTCTTACATGTGGTTACTACAGAAACGTTTTTATGTGCCACTTCTGACCATATTACGTTTATATACTTTGTGTGAAAAGTGATAGTTTTAACCTTTTCTGCGAATATGCTCGTTATCAGAGTAAATAAAAGCATTATTTTAGAATCTGATTACATTTCAATGTAAATTCTGTTGCCTCATTCTGAATCGCAGACAATGATGGTAATATGGCACTACACATACTTTGACACTTTGTCTGTTATGTGATGTAAATTGGAGATTGTTAATATGAAACATTTTATTGAGCTTATGCATATTGAAGCATCCACATGTTAACTGTCATAATTAGCATGTTTTAACTGTCCATTATAGGACCTTGGGGTTAATGCAATAAGTAAAAGCCCCTGAACCAGTGGTTGGCAACCAATGGCAAAAGTGCTGTTTTTAGCACTGTGGAAGACCTAGTGAAAAGGTCAAGACTGACTATGCGCAGGAAAGGTTTTCTGTTCGCACCACTGTCTTTCTGCAAACTAAATCCTTTGATTCTTCACACCCATTCAACCAGAGAGAAATTAAGCAGATTGCAGGATGCCAAATGGTATCTTCCTGTCCTGTTTGTTTGACTTCTGACACATCCCCCTTTCCCTTATGTTCTTTTGATGTGTTAAAGTCTTGCCTACTTTTAATGTATAAAAAGGAAAGTATAACTTCAGTCCAGTGAGCATGTCTTGAGTGCTAGGGGAAACCCTTTCTCTGTGATATGCTCCCCTTCAGCTGATTAAATTAAAGATCTCTGTTTGACAATCTCCTAACCTGAGTGAAGACTGAGTTTTCTTCGACAGCACTTAAAAGGGATTTTTTATAGCATGTGCAATGGAAATGGCACGTGTAATAAAGTCTCTTATGCAACAAATACATTAAGTAAAATAACAATAAAAACTGTTCTTGACTGTATTTCTCTATAGCATGTTTCCTAATTAAATCTCTTTGGTGCAGAAAAAATGATTCACCTGGTTTATTACAGCAATATGTTCAGCCTACAGTTTTCACAGCAAAGCTCACAATCCATGCCGCTGATAACAACACACTTAAGTGTAGACTCTAACATTTTGCATAAAATGGTGGTTGCCAAGAAGAAAGCAAAATTAGATGTTCACTTATTTCAAGCCTTTTGTCTTTTCTTGCATGTCAAGTGTCCGATGACATTTTCATAACACAAAAAACACTTCAAGGATGAATTGGACAAGGCTGAGTCTATCAAAGCAGCATTGTCAATAATTTGTGTCAGTAAAAATTAAGCCAAACAAGCAAGATACTAAATCTCACAATGTGTTGCGAATTTTGGAACATAATTTACAAGTGGGTGATATATAAAGGAGCTTTTCTTAGTTGTTCAGATGTTTAGTTTTGCCTAACAAACAAATCTCTATAATTAAGGACTTGTGTCTGCTAGTTCAGTGAAGAGAAGTGGTTGAAAAGGTTAACAAACAACAAACCTTGGCATTTAAAAGGTGTTAAAGTATTTTGTGTTGCACATGCTGAGTGTGTGGATATAAACAATCTAACGCCATTATCAATTCTCGTGAGATACTGTGACTGAAATGGAATTTGAGAAGAGCTGTGCTGCCCACAACTACAAGGGAAGACGTAGCTAAGAAGGTTATTAATAATTTTGAGGAAAAAAGAAATCACACCAATTAAATATTTTCTTCCCCGACTGACAGTGCCCTTGCTATGGTAGGAAAACTGATGTGATATATGATAAATCTTTCTAGAATTTTTTCAATGCATGGATGTCAAGTCACTCAAAGCACTGGAATTTAAGTCTCTAGATACAGGACACCCATTTGCTTTTTTTCAGGGACAATCCTGCATATTTGATAACTACTTTGGATCTAAGGTACTTTTTGGAAGTTCTTCCTGAAATGTAACCTTAGTTGTTTAAAATGTTAATGCTGTATTTAACTTAAAGGTTTAACAGCTTGGATGAATGGCAGCTCCTCAGCAAAATGATGAAGTATCCATCTAAATTAAAACATTACCTTTTATACCTAATATAACTCAAGGTATTATAAAAATAAGAAATTGCTACAATGTTAATAAACTAAACACATGTACTGTAAAATAAATTGTAATGTGAAAAAACTAAAAAAGGGAATAGTAATTTTTATGGTTTGAGACACAGAACGGAACCCTGACTTTAAACCACATAAATCAGGAATGGTATATACTCTCTGCTAATATACAAAGAAGGCAGTGTAGCATTTGAACTCCATCAACATCACTTTCAATAAACAATTATCCAATTCAGGGTCACAGTTACCCAGAGCCTGTCCCTGGAAGCACTGGACACAAGGCAGGATTGAACCCTGGACAGGATGTCAGTCCATCACAGGGCACAAACACTCATACCAGTTTCCTCAGACGCCTTTTAACCTACCAGCATGTTTGTGGACTGTGGGAGAAAACTGGAACACCACACAAACATGGAGAGATCACACAAACTCCAGACAGTTAGCACTCCAGATTTAAAAGAGATTCAAAGATGAGAGATAAACAAATTAATAAATATTGCAAACCTAACTCATTTCCATAGCTACTTTCTTTCAGGTGTATATAAAATATTAGAAAGAATGGAGGAATATAAGAGATAAGGTTAGGATCCAAATGGAAAAGGGAGGCTGACACTCCCATAGCAATTGAGGAATCTAAAAGCATTTAAATCTGCATAAATCCACTAATTCATCTTCCTGGAGAGAATCACTGGAAACTGGTTAAAGCTGGAGAGAGATAGTGCTCAAATCTGGAAGAACTCTATGATTGAAATTTCAAGAAGAAAATAACCTACAAAATCAACTACATATACAGTATATATCAAAACAAAATGGGAAAGTTATGTTTTAAGCCTCTCAGTAATCATATGTTTACAAAGAATCCACAGACAAGAACTTGTATAAAATGAAACAAAAAACTGCTTTCTATATGTCATCTTTCTTTTTGTTTTGTATTTTCTAGGTGTTACTTTCTGAGGAATGTGAAAAACAGAATGTTGTGAGTCTTGACATACCTAAATAGTAAGAACTTTCCAGTGTTCAACTTACCTCAGTTTTGTTAATTTAGAGTTGGGATCCCTCAGAGCTGCAGACAGCAGTTTCACTCCTGAGTCCCCCAGGTTATTGTAACTCAGATCCAGCTCTCTTAGACTGGAGTGTTGAGACTGAAGAACAGAGGCCAGGTCTTCACAACATCTCTCTGTTAGTCCACAGCTCTCCATCCTGCAGACAAAAAGACAGGACACAGCTGAACATCTGCACAGTTCATCCACATCTTTCTTTCCAAGTCTTCACTACAGAATCCAGCTCAGCAGTAATATACAACATCATGTCATTACCCATCTCAGAGTGTCCATGGATGAGGATGATGAAGATAACAGCTGCTTCAAATTTTAGGGTCCAGAAGAAAGAAGAAAGATGATAAGTAATTGTCAGGAAAGGAGACAGTGTGAAACAGGGAGACAGATGGAGTTGGAATAGGGAAACAGAATGAGATAGACTTTAACTTTTAACGATAATAGAAATTGCATCACATTTTCTTGTGTCTTGTTAAAGTTATAGCTTTGGTTGTTATTCTTCACATGGTTGAATTAATACAAAATGTAAATTAACAGCACTTGAGTAAGTGAACTGGAGATTTTGGCATTTGTATATGTTGTAAGAGGACGCGGGGAAGGGTCATCTATAACCGGTATTTCCAGAACGAAACACTGAAAATACTAGATATGGACCTTAGCAAAATGGCGGCCAAAAAGAATCAGCTGACCGGTAAATGGAAAGGGTCTACCCTGAGAAACAATGAGACACAGCTGAGCCGCATCAGGAACCGAAATATAAGTGCCCCGGAGGCAGTGAACAGGGCGGAAGCCGATAAGGTGAATGCGGTTTGGAGGAAAAGAGAGGAAAGAGGTGCATGTTAAAGATCGGGCTAAAGAATAATGGACTACTGAAAGGAGAAAAGGTTTATGGTTTTTGGATTACGGACACTGGATAAGGATACATCGCGGATTGGCTTTATTACGGACTCGGTTTATAACTCGGATCGGATCAGGATTATGGGAACGGATTACGGACTGTATTTGGAAGACAGTTGGAGTAAGAAACGCCACGAAACTCAGGAAAGAAAAGTGTGGTGTGAGTACTACTTTCATTTACATAAACTTTCCCCCGGAGACACCACAATGTGTTGAGGGAAACAACATCCTCTTTTGAAGAAAATACCATTTAAGCATAAACAAAAACAAGCAAAGATATAACTATAACAACACATAATAAAAATGTGAAGCAATAAACAGCATTCATGTCCAAACCCAATATACTGCAGAAGTCCCACCAAAAAAAAGAAAATGAATGTCAAAATAAACAAATCGCATTCCTCTCCAAAATATACAGCACTGTGTACAGTTTTCACAAATGAAAGCTTCTCTACTCACAGCCTCACATGTAACATTGTCAACTCATCTTCAAACACTAGTATTTCCTAAGACAAGTGCTGTTTCAGTTAGTGAAACAGATTGGATGCGTATGGCCCAATCATAATGTTCATCTAGTGGCAGAAATAGGCTTATGAGAGGGAGCTGTGAAATAACAGGTGTACAGATGTACATGTGTTCTATTTTTTTAAACTGGTCTCATCTGGAAAAATTCAGATTCCTCCCTTGTCCGAGACCATGACAAGACTGAGTGCAATGACCATGAATTAGAAATAGTAGAGCTCAGGACAGATTGGGCAGCTTCTCCTCTCTCCAAACACACAGACAGTACCACTCCAGCAGCAGACTGAGGAGGAAAGGCAGCAGTGGGGACAGGTCAACCCCACAGCTGTTCAGTAGAAAGAGGACCTCGCTGAGTTTAAGGTCTCCTGCTCAATTCAGCAGGACACAAGGCTGGGCAAAGAGCAGCTGATGATGACAACTGAAAGTCCTCTAGGGTTTTTCACAGTGCCCTGACATCCTGCTCTCCTCCAGCCACTACCATGATGTCATCAGTGTACTCTGAGTCCCGGATATTAGGATCAGGGAAGCCCAGGATGGACAGCCCCTTGCAGACCTGACACAGCTGATATAGAAGAGGCTCAAGGGCAAAAGAGATGTGGAGAGAGTATATCAGTGTATTTTCACAAACAATCTTCAGATTACTGGATTTTAAAGGTATTGTAAGACCATGAACCTCACTCATTTTCTTTGACCTGGTCTCTCAATCAAAATTTGGCTGAGGAATCTACCATGGTGCTGCATCCACTTTGTACTAGTCAAGAGAGAGCGAGTCCATATGAACCAGAATTCTGCCTCAGACTTTGTCTGCCACAGGGGAAATCTTTTGACTTGGGATCATCTGTAAATTTCACTTGAATTCAGTAAATATTAATACAGTTGTACTCCATTGTCAATAAAGAACGGCATATTTGTTCTGTTAAAACTACTAGTATAATGTGTGAGAGAGATGTTATTCCTGAGGGAGCAATTTGTACTGCTTCAGGTGACTATGGAGGGTCTTTTAGAGTTTACATAAAGTTCGTGATACAGTATCTGTCAGAGTAAACACTATGGCTTCAAAGCAGAGGGAATGTTTGCTGAGATGTGAGGGGTCCCTGATCAAAAACAATTGTAAAGTTTACCTTGGTATACTTACTGTAGGTAACTAAGTCTGAGTTAATGATTGTCAATGAGCAGTACAGAAACACACCATATAAGATCAAATTAAGTCCACAGAAAGGAAAACGGGAAGAATAGAGGACAGGAGAGAGGTGAGAAGTTGGAACTTGAACCTTGCTCCAGGCGAGAGCCCCTACTCCATGATCATCTAAACAAAACCTGACTGGAGCTACTGTATGTATTTGGACCTTGCTAGAGAAAGCTTGTGTCACAGTAAGGTGAACCCATTGGGGGAGGAATGTTCCTGCCTCGTGTACGACTACACCACCTAGCAATACAAACGGGGTACTAGGGCCCCTCTAAATTGCCACAGGTTCTTTTTATCTCCCAGAATCACCAATGCACACACAGACCAGCGACAAGCATTTGTATTGTATAAGTGCCCTTTTATTTTATAACTACATTCATATTCACTATCACCCAAAGACACAACGAAAACAGCATTCGCAGCAACAAAAGGTCCTTCCCAGGGTCATAATGAATCCGGAGGGACAGCAGTTTTTCCCGTAAAGTACTGAAGAGAGGCCACTCGAACATTTCTTCTTAGTACCTGTAGTCTCTGATGGCCCACTTGAAGGAGAGGGGTATCACCCAGTCCTATTTCTCCAGTTTCCATTTTGGTAACTATAGAAATCCTCTGCGGGCTGTATTACATTCCCCTCAGTTTGAATCAGCTAGCTGGGCCAGTTTCCTTGTTCCTTGCCTTCAGGTGTTAAAAGTCTCTGTACAGTAACTCTGTTCCAATACCAATGTCCCCTGTGGTCGTCAGTTACTGGACCAATAGTTCCTTGCCTTCAGGCATTAGAAGTCTCTGCACAGTACCTCCATGGTCTTGCACTCTGCAGCTTCCCTTGTGCTGCCTGTGTTGTCTCCACTGTCCAGTGGGAATCGGGAGCTCACTCTGTTCTGTCTCAGCTGTTTTTATTCCTCCCCTTAGCCAATCCCTCTTAGGGGGTTTTCCACTGTTCCTGTCAGAATTGGGTTTCCCCAGTATTTTTCCAGGAGGAAGCTTGTGTTGTTTGAGGGATGTGGGAGTCCCGAGCTAGGTGTTATGGGCCCTTATCACTTCTTTTTTCACTCTCCAGGTTTCCTTCTTTCTCCCTTGATCTGGCTAAAACTGGTTCAGCGACTCCTCACAGCTCCAAGTATCGATACCTAATTGCTTCCTGAACGACCTGGGTGTGACCGTTGTTGCTGACTCTTCCTGCTAGACTGTTTGACACCATCCTGGAAATCATAGCCCAATCAATCCAAGCTTGTTACTGCCTCAATGGCCCACATCCTGCGACACTTGCTATTCTGTGATTTAATGGAACTAGGATTTCCTGAGTAAAAGATACCTCTTTCCTGCTTAGGGTGCATTTTTAGAATAGGGAGATAATAATCACTTACACTTACGCTTACACTTATATAGCGCTTTTCTGGACACTCCACTCAAAGCGCTTTACAGGTAATGGGGACTCCTCTCCACCCCCAGCAGTGTGCAGCATCCACCTGGATGATGCGACGGCAGCCATACTGCACCAGAATGCTCACCACACATCAGCTATTAGTGGGGAGGAGAGCAGAGTAATGAAGCCAATTCATAGATTGGGATTATTAGGAGGCCATAATTGGTAAAGGCCAATGGGAATTTTGGCTAGGACAACACCCCTACTCTTTGTGAGAAACCCCCTGGGATTTTTAATAAGCACAGAGAGTCAGGACATCAGTTTTATGTCTCATCCAAAGGGCTTATTTACAGTATAGTGCCCCTGTCACTATACTGGGGCATTAGGACTCACATGGACCACAGGGTGAGCGCCCCCTGCTGGCCCCACTAACATCTCTTCCAGCAGCAACCTTAGTTTTTCCCAGGAGTCTCCCATCCAGGTACTGACCAGGCTCACACCTGCTTAGCTTCAGTGGGTTGCCAGTTTTGAGTTACAGAGTGATATGGCTGCTGGCTCCCATATATTCTGTGGCATCTGGGGTGCAGAGAGAGATTTAGCTGCAGGTTGTATTGCATTTATTTAGAAAGGCAGCTTATTGTCAGGAATCCCACATGCTCTTCAGATTCCACATGGGCTCACAAACGCTCCCGCATTCTCACACACTCCAAATCTCACAAACACTCGCACAATTTGAAAGGAGCAAATTGTTAGTTTCATTGATCATTCATATAATTGGATAAAACATGTTGACAACAGTGTCACCTCCTTATGCCTCCTGATCTCATCAGCTTTCAGAATCTACTCAAGGCTGGGTGTGATCACAGCTCTAAGGTAAACCAGGTAGTTGCTGTCAGTTGTGTGGATCAGGAGGTGGCGCTCTTTTGTTCCAGTGTCATAAGTACCAAATTTACCTCTGTAAAAAACAGTACTGATTTATCATGAAGCCAGCAGAAAATTATTCCTACTAATATCTTAAATTTTTATTTTATTTCAGGTTCCACTGGCCAGATTACTGTGACTCAGACTCAATCCGTGACATTTGTCAAGATTCCCACACACTCTTCAGATTCCAAACGGGGTCACAAACGCTCCCGCATAATTCTGCATATTGTAACTTACTTATGAATTC